AAGGTACATTACTATACATTGCCTATATACTTTAGACACATCATTATAAGTTATAACTGATTGAATAGCGTTTTACATTGTATTATATCAAACAAGAAATAACGCTGGTTTATCTTTACTTCCAAAAAACCAACGAAATTATAAACGAAATTAAACTTACATTGAAGAGTGAGGACTATAAAAATAGTAAAATTTGTCAAACAAAAATTAATTTTTATTTAACAAATGTAATAATTTGTTCAGTTGTTAAAATTGTAAATTTTAAAGAAAACTGTGCTGGCCGAAAAGTAAACGTTAAGTTTTTGCCGAAAAGAGCAAGTGTTGGCCGAAAACGGAAGGGTACATTTTGGCCGAAAAGGGGGCCGCCCCTTCTTACAAGCGTTATTGATCTTTAATCTTGGCGGAACTGGCAAGGAGGGCATGGGGCTTCGTATCGGTGCCCCGCATTGCTGAACTATTATTATAGTAGGGTGAGGCTTGGACAACTGACCGTGTAAAACCACCACCTGGTCGATGACTGCGTCCATTGTCCTGTCGAACACCTTATCCACCAACGGTTCGACTGTGGGACTGTTAACAGATTTCGGGTTTGGGTACGGCAATTCAAAATTTTCATGGGTTTTGAATAGTTTTGATGGTTATCTTTTTAGTCAACATATCGGATGATTGGAATATATGATTCGACAAAAGGCAGTTCACAAATGACAAATTAAGTACAAGGTATTATAACTATTATAAACTAACGGTAGGTTAGATTTGAATGCAATGATAGGTATCATTGTATACGAAAAACGATTCTGAAMGGAGATGATTTGTCAGTCTAGGATATTATATTATATTTAAATATTTTCATATTATATTATATTTTGAAACAAATATTTTATATTTCAATTAGGTAGGACGCATTTCGAATAAGGCATGGTTAATCAATTTTTTCAAAAACATTGCATGTAGTTATCATAATTCATAATACCTTATATTATCATAGATATATAATATATATCTGTTTGAGGATAAATCGTTATCACTACGCGATTTCATAAAAATTTAAAACTCAAACGCTCAAAACATTTTTCCTATAATGACGCTTCAAATTTTCTCTATAGCTATTTGAAGCAAAACTTATGGAAAAYTTAGTGTTAAATTGTATWACCTTAGATATAAAAACAAACAATATTATGCATTTTGAACTACAAAATAATTTGCAAATATTCATGTTTTGACGAATTTTTGTCAATATTTGAAATTCAAATGCTAAAAAAACTTAATTTGAATTTCCGGTGGACATTTTGTTTGTGATGAAGATTGACAAATTTGTAAGGAATCTTGTATTAAATTTTCAATCTTAG